TGTCTTTCTGTCTGTCTTTCAGTCAGCCAAATTAGTGAGGTTACAATTTTATATCAAAGCAAATGTTGTTATTGAAATAATGATCGTGATCTAGCTAATTGTGATTTCTTTAAAACTTATCAATTTAATTCTTACATACTTTCACATGTTGTAGGAGAGCCACTCCATGTTCCGTCACTTTGACATGTCCTTACTTTTGATCCTTTCATTTCGTAACCCGTCTCTGTGCAGTCAAAGACTATTCTATTTCCATAGGTAAACGCCACTTGTTCGATTATATCTCCATGATCTGGCTTTTGTAAGGGGCCACAATCCGCAACTTCCGACAAATAACAACAACAGCAACAAAATTCAGTGAATGAAAAGAAAAGCAGTTTGATTTTAGTGTGGTATCTAGGTTAGCAATGTGATATTTCTTTACAGTTCTACCATATGACTTGGCATGCAAATCTAAGTTACATTCAACTAGCAAATTTGAAAAAGAATAGCATACGTTGAACTTGACTTATGATACATTCGAACCTAATTCCCAAGATCTGATTATAAATTCTCCCCTCTAGCTGCTACACATTCCCTTGTAAATTGCTTACGAGAATTTGGTGTTCAATTAAGGTTACCTGATTAGTTATTGATATTACAGGGAAAAGTTACTGGTAAATCACTTCTGGTAGTTAAAGGGTTAAGCGGCATTGTATCAAACGGTCACCCCGTTTTAAGTGGACGGTTGTCAAAGTTCGGAATTTTGTTCGCCTTATTAAGCACCGAAGTATTAACCTTTATCAAACGGCTGTGGTCATCTTTGACAAAGTCCCAATTGCCGATTAAATTGTCTTCCACCTGTATTGTGGTCACTGATGGCGGAACCACTGAAATAAACCTAAGAATAATCTCTCAACTCAAATTTATTTCATGTTTATCAAATATCCTCAAGGCATTGGAGCTCAACTTTCTTTTAAGACTGTTAGGACAAAGTGCTTTTTTCTTAGCGCAAATGACTTCTATTATGTGGAACCTGTGTTTAGCCCCTGGGTGACCGCTTGGTTCAGGTTGGACTGTAATCACATAAGAGATATGATCTTAATTTCTATAAGATAAATTATCTTACCTTCACAAATAGGGTCACTATCACCCCATTTCTCGTTAGCCTGGCATGTTCTATAAGATGGTCCTTTAAGATTGTAGCCTTCGTTGCACTCGTATCTGATCTTTTCCTTAAAGGAATATACGTACCCTATGATCCTTCCGTTAGGGATATCGTTTGGACGGCCACAGCTTTTAGCTAATGAATTCAATGAAAATCTAATCATACAGATCTCAAAGAATAATTTTACATTTCAACTCTACGACCATGCATGTCTGTCATTCGAGGTGTGCAATATTATTGTTAGCAATATTCATTATAATTCAAATTTCTGGGTAGTTTTGACACAGACACAATGCTGGGAATCAAATGAACATGGGGCAACAAAACCGTAAAAAAATAACTAAGCGCACGATTCTACCGTATGAATTTTTCAACGCGTCAGAAGGATCATATTTCCTACGAGAACGGCCCTATACGAGAAAAAAATTAACAACCAAAGCAATCATGTTTTTCTTATAACTTTTTTTTTTAGCTATAAAGTTAAAAAAAAAGTCAATTTCTAGATTTGCTATTTTCTGGAATTTTTTGTCCTCGCTGGAACGTACTTGACTATATACATCAGTGCACAATGAAAATGCGTAATTCGTATACCGCTCAATCTTGATCCGATCCACCTAATTTTGGCGAGTCAGCATAGACTGAGTATGCGGTGTATCACTAATCAAACTAAACTCACGAGAGCAAGTGATGCCTCCACTCCATCTGTTGCCTTTCTTACATTGGTAAACACCAAGTCCTGACTTAAAGTACCCATCCTTGCATCTCAATACCACTTTGTCACCGTATTTGAATTCCCTATTCATTGTTCGAGGATATATAACTGTAACCCCTTCTGCAATGTTCGGTTTGTCACACGGGGGAACTACACAATTGAAATTAAAGAACTCGTGATGTTGTCTTTCAAAGAGATTCAAAGTAAATTCATTTGCATATAGGATACGGAGTTAGTGCCCTAAAAATTAAAAAATAAATTATTTGTATTTTAGTGTGACTGCCTTTGGCTTTCAAACAGAGAATATGGAAAGAAATATTTAAACAAAGGGGAAATCAAAAGAGAGCTAGCGAACGAACAAGATAACGGTAACAACAACTATTGTGTTTCTATGTAAGTTGAAGATATATGCCAGAAGTTCCCAGATCGAGCAAAAGTAGCTGCCCTATAACTCCGATTTTGACTTTTCACTTAAAATCGAATCCTCATAATAAAATGTCTATGAAGGCAAATTTTGCTCCACAAATAAGAACAGCTAGAAGCCGCCACTGATGGAGTGTTTGAGCATATCTTTTACCGCTGTCTTTGTTTTCAAACGAAAATGAGATTTTTTTGGCTTTTTTATTCTAGGTCTGACTTGCAAACTAGAGAAAAAGTTAGGAAAATCAAAGTTCAATTCCGTGTCGATTGTCATTACCTCAAACGTCGTGTCTGAACTCACCCACAACTGCGGTATTATTCAGTTAGCGGTTCATTTCGACGATCAAGCTTAGGTAAGTCTGATAAATGGGTAAGTTGTTTTCACCAAATGAACTACTCACGAGATTGGATGCATTTTGGCTTTGGTGCACTCCATTTTCCGTCTTCACGGCATTCTATTCGACGGGCTCCTACCATTTTATACATATCATCATCTAAACACCAGAAAAGCATATACTTCACACCCTTAATGCGTTCAGTTCGTCTGCTTCCATAAGGGATTCGTCCAGGGTCCTTACAAAAGGTTTCTGTCAAGAACGAAGATATGATATAATAATTATGTTGATGATGTAGGTACTAAATTATTTACCGTACAAAATGAGTTTCAGTGAATGGACGAACATTTAGTCAAAAGACTAGCAAATCGACTTTTACCTTAAGAAACATAAAGAATGAACTAAGGAATGAGCAGGCCAACGAACACCGGGGTGAATGGATGGACTTACAGAGGGATAAATTGTAGATAAATTGTGACAGGACCATGGTAAAACAAAATAATAGTAAAAAACAACAACAAAAAGGGATATCCTTAAAAAGAGTTTTTGAAACTATTTTGATATGGATGGCTGGATTCCCGAAGAGCAGTCGAATTGACAAGTAGTTGGAATACGCATTGTATTTGATACATCAAACTTACTGCATCTCGTTTTCTCTCCATCCCATTTTCCTGTTGCTCTGCATTTTCGTTTTGCCGAGCCACGGAGTTTATATGGTTTCTTACACTTATATGTCACCACACTGCCAAAGTAGCTGCCATTGGTGAGTCTTGAACGACTGTTTTTTACCTTGGGTAAGTTTTCGCATCTAAGATCTTGTGAAAGTGAAATTAGAAATTCTTAGGCATTTGTCATTCTTTTTGTTGGTTTGATGTAAATAACAAAATAAGCATGTAATAACGTACAGATATCTTATTTCAGACGCACTTTTTGCAAAGTTTTAACAACTTAGTTCCCCGTTGAGCTAACACTCTCCAAAGAGGAGGTAGAAAAAGTCCAAGGAGGCGTCCAAGTGGTTGAGTAACTGAACTGCAATTAAAGCGTTGGGAGCATCGAAAGACTAGTTTATACTCACTGATTGTTTTTAACATATGAAAAAATGATATGAACAACTAATTATAAGTAAATTAATCCAGAAGGCAAACAAGGTTGATTATGATATGCCTAAAACGCAGTGTACAGTGAATATCACGTTCGTCGAGTCACGAATAATCTTGGATATCAAGTTGCGTGACGCATACGGGGAAAACAAAGTCTCGTCAAGAAAAGTCTTAACAAATACGTTTGATGGAAATCGCATTCATAATTAATCTTAAGGTAGAATGACACACTGAGGGCATCTCAGTCACAAATGAAACGTAGTCTTAGTCTTGTCTTCTGTTTACTTTTTCGCGATGTGTGAGAGGAATCTTTGTGATTATAATGAAGACTTCTGTAAATTTCGTTTGTCCGAAAAGATATGAATACTCATATCTCTACATGCGTGTACTTCTCTAAAAAAAAAAAACCACGTCGAAGGAAATCCACATAATCTCGTAACTGTCAAGCTGAGAAACAGCACACGCTTGATTTTTAGAAATCTTCGCATAAAATTCCAAGGGAAAATACAATCATACCAACTTACTGTTTTTTACACAAATCATTCCACAGTCCCCATCACATAAACATTTCTGGTTTCGCCGACAATCTCCGTCCTTGGAGCAAACCTTCCCACAGTATCGCTTTATACTTGTTCGCAGGCAGCCATTGGAGCCTATAAAATCGAAGAAGTCGAGTGTGATGAAATTGTAAAGGTCTTAAGAGTCAATAATGAACAAACATTTACCACTTTGCTTTTGCTTGGCCCCGATGGCTGGATAACTGTAGAGGAAAATTGTCCCCAAGAGAAGCGTTCTCCACATCTTTCGAAATATCAGAGATAATTATATGCGTTAAACGTCGCCGTTCCAACTTAGTACTGAAACGCTTCGTCAAGATGTAGTTCTCAAATTACTGTCGAATATTTGTCTCAGCTTAACAGGAACGTGCTGTTGTAGCTCAACCGGAACATTATATCATTCCTTTACTAAGAAATGGCTATGTCCTTTCACAGCTGGATATTTTCCAAAGGCGATACGGCTTTGTCTCTAAAGCTGTGGCAGTTGTCGAAAAAATTATAAAAAAAAATGAGAGAGGAGGGGTAATTACTACGTACACAGGGTAGGAGTATGGGAGTCAGTGAGTTTCGACATGACCTCACCGCAAACTTCTATCAAACAATTACCAACACTACGGGGCAGGGGTATGGAGCGCGCGCGAGCATAGTCATCTCGGTCACGCACTGCAAAGGTAAGGTGCGTGGAGCGGAAAATTCCGAAAAGGGCCCACTGCAAGGCTGAAACCCGTTTCTTGAAAGTTTTAGTAACTTTACTGGCCCTAAGCCATATTTTGAAATCGAAATCTTAGAAATAATTGGGCAGATCATTCTATTCAGAAATCTGAAAATTTTTTCTTGTTTGAATTCTAAAACCAGCTTAATAGAAATACGATCTTGACTGTACATAGGTCAGGAAAAAATTAAAGGAAAATACAATTCTTAAAGCTGAGGAAAAAGTCAGGGAATTTCTTGTGTTTGTGTTTTATTGTAATTAGACATGACATGACACTTAGCATAATGACGCACTACCCACAAATAGCAGAGCTAGTCTCGGCGGGTAGTGTGTGTGGACGCTAATACATCTTAAATAAAATTCGGCTCAACATTGAGTCAGGGAAAATCTACATATTTGAACGAGCTAAGTAGGGAAAAGTAAACTTCAAGGAGATGAGAATTCGTTCATTTTATCCCGACACTTTTCATGATGAAAGATGGTGATTTTGATTTTCCTCGGTTATGTAAAGTGCTTGGTACAGTTCACAGATTCCTGACCAGCTCATACTTTCCCTTTGTAATACAAGCTCAAGCTGATGTATGAATAAAATCATGCATTTGGTTTTACAAGCATTTTGAATTCAAATTACAAACTACAGAAATAAAGGTGTTGGATCGGTAGAATTTTGTTTAATGAAATTGAGCAACAAGCTGTTGTTGAGTTTCTAAGCAAATCAATTATTTTACCATCGAGTTAGGTACCGTGTAGGTGTGAAACTGCTAATTCAGTTGGTCATGGAAAATAAAGTTTTGTTAAGGGAAACTTCAGGAAAAAAAATCAGAAATCACATACTGTAGTAACCATGTTTTAAAAAGGCAAACAACTAGCAGCTTCTTTAAAGCAGTGACCACCAGGACTTTCAAGGGTAGAAATTGTTCCCGTGAATTATCTGAGAAGCAAATGTTTGTAAATAAATTAAAAACTTAATAGATAGATATGAAACAGCATAGTAACTTTAAAAAATAGCGGCGGTGATTACTCATGGAGGAGAACAGTGGAAGAGGAGATGGGCAGAAACTCAAATGTAAAGTTCTTTTGGTAAGCTTTCATAGAAAGCCAATCAATGTTTATTGATTCCTTTTTATTAGCCGAGTCCATGCAGAATAGTTCTTTCCCACAACTGAACTAATTTGGAAACTTCACAAACATTTCCGCGTCCTTTTCTCCTCCTGAAATGATACTAAGTTAGAATTAGTTCATAACTGTCACATTATTTTTTTTGGCACGGAACAGGCTTGCGCAACGTATAACGATGGTGTAATTTGATTTGTAATGAACTTATATTATGAGCAAAAACAACCGTAAAAAGGGGTAGCAAAAAGATAATTTAAAACAATTATCTTAATTAGCGTAGATATGGTCACAAAGTATAGATTTTAAGTCAAAGAACAATCTTAATTAGTGTCACATGTTCCCTCTGAATTACTTCAAAGCTTTTAAGATAGCCACTTCATAGCAGATGCTCTGCTAAAATGAGTAAATCGTTCCGCCCGAGCGAAACTTACGGAGAGCACGCTAAGTAGGAGTACAATGTAATAAAATGTAATGGGAGTATAGCATTATTAAGTACAATGTTTTTCCCGTATTGGGTGTTTCAGCCTATAAGGCAACTAAAAGTAGTGAATGGAGAAATTTTTCTCCAAAAGCTCGTTTTAAGCTTTGTCGGGAAATAAGGGCGCAAAAACTTAAGCAAATTAACCTACAAATGAAATATTGAGCAAAGACGACAATGGACAAACAAAGAAACCAGATATCTCTGGAACTTAAGCACCAGGGGATACCCTTTTCTATTCCTCAGAAATGTTATAAGTCACGATACTTCAACCCTAATGTCATTTGTGTTTACACGAAAAACACGTCTGAATAGTTTGTTTAAGTGGTTTTCCCCTTTTGATATCAAAATTGCAAGTAGGTTCACACATATCACTTGGAGAAACCAACGATCAAATGTTCGATCTGATTTTCCTCAGCTAATAGCCTCTCCTTACGTGGGAATTTATCCACTTTCTGTATTTTGAAACTCTAGTGTAATACGCGTACTTTCTGGGTCTTCCGCAACCTTCGCTCCATCCGAACAGTCCAATAACAATCCAGCGCCCAGATCGAGGGTGCTGCATAACGAGAGGGCTTCCCACATCCCCAAAACACGGGTCTTTGGGCTTCTTTTTAAATCCTGCACAGAACGTGGTTTCCTTGTGGTAGGTATAAATTGACGCTTCTTTGCATTCCTTATCTGGAACTATCGGCACTGTAACCTCTCTAAGCACAGCTGACAAAGGTCCTGTAGGTTCGCCAAGTCTTATCGGTTTGGTGGAACCCCATCCCGCCACTGTCCCGTACCTTAATGGCTTTTCCAAAACTTTGTCTCTCTTGCGCTTTGGTATGCACACCTTGAAAAAAAACAGAATATTTTGCATTTCTTTTATTGCTGAACAATTAATGACTGATAAATTGCACCTCATGCCCATTTTACCCACAGAAAACTTGTATTTTCAGTAGAGAAGGCTCGATGCCACCTTAATTTTATGTTTTTCCCATCCCAAGAGTCCTCGTTAATCCCAAAAGCAACGACAATACTGAGCGGCTCATGATAGCAATGACAACCTAACTCACCATCCTTATATGATCGTTTAGCTTCACAGCTTTCTCCAACTCTAACAAAGCAATATTGTGGGCCATTGAGTATCGATCGTATCCAGGATGTATGACGATCCTTTTCACACGTATGGGCGTTTCCGATCCGTCCAATTTATTGCGGTTGAACTCTCCTTCAAATGAAAAGGTGAAAACTGTAGTCAAGTTAAAGTTTCTGGTAGCCCAAGTGTGCCGGAAAGGAACAAAGCTATGGCTCTCGACGTTTCGAGACCTAAATTTGGTTTTTTCCAGACACGAATACTCTGTTGGAATTCATTTTTTTAGGGATTCCTTTGCCATCTCCACAAGGAATGAAGCGTCAGGAAAAGAAAAATGTCTGAAGTTAAACGTACCTAACACCACTCGTAATTTGTGAGGTTTTATTGGCTTAGCACCCTTTTTCACGTGAAGAACGTTGGCGACTGTGAGGACCCATCCAGGTTTTATAAGTGCTCCGTTAAAGAGGTAGTTATATCTCCCTAAAAAGGCAAAAGGAAACATGGAGAATTTTGAAATGCTCATACTGAAGCTTTAAAGTTGGATTGGCATCTGTATAATTTGCAAGTACGAAATACGCAAACAAAGCAGAACTTAAGAGACAAGAACATATGTATATGCGAACTGAGATGAATTGCTTGCCTACGTCATGGCGGTGCTTGATTGCTGTCGACAGCTCCATTTTATTATGCAATGATTTTCATTAGTATGTCTTTATCACGAGCCTGTTCATCCTGTTTATTTGTTTTGTTTTAACTGGGGTTGCTCTGAGATTATTTTGTTAGTGTTTGTTCCTCTAGCACATTCGTAAGAATTAAATCCATATAATGGCATCAGTAATGATATACCTAACATGTTTTAGTCAGTAATGGGTATCCGTGTGATCCGGACACATGCGGTATTAAATCAAGCCATTTATAACGTTTAAATACTTCCATTGCTAAGATTACATACCCTAATGTTGTCTCTTATCCATTTGAGAATAATGCCACTTTAAATCACTTTAGTGGTAAAGACACCCTAGAGGGGCTTATAATCATATATCACTTGATATACTTACTTGTGCTATTATAGGTAATGGCGACTTGCCACGGCCAGGAGCCATGCGCAGAAGATATTCCTCCTACGATCCGTCTAATCCGCGTAGCATTCCTAGTATTTCCCAGAGTGCCACACATATGCGCTGAAACCTTATTTTTTTCTACAGCAAGTTAAAGAATTCATGTTAGGAGTAATATAACCATCAGGCAACTTGTACTATTCGTAATAGCACCATGAGTAGTAAAAACATAGCAAGATTATCTGCGTAGCCTGCTTAACATTCTAGAGAGAAAAACAATAATTCTAAGAGTATAAAAAGCATGATTAGGGATAACTTTAAGCCAATTAGGGAAAATAAATTACTGAGGCTTCAATCCTTATGATGCAATTTACGGGCTCTGAAAAGCAGAATTAAAAAAATAAGCTCTGGTTATTTTTGGCGATCTCAGTAAATGCTATTCAAGAAAATTAAACCTGACAGCTCAAAGGCTGAGCTTTATTTCAGTTCTAAATTTAAATGGCCGTTTGCCACTTACTTCGAAACAAAGCAGCAACCATGAAGTATTTCTTAGACAAACATAACTTCCCATCACCATAGTAACCAGGCTTGCACTTGCAGTGGAACGACCCAATGGTGTTGATGCACGTGGCCTCTAAGTGACATAGATGATTATGCTCTACTTGAACGTCATTGGTGGTGTAGGGGTTTGCATAATCCTCGTATTCAACGCATTCGTTGATATCTGTATGAAAACAGATGAAACCATGATCCGGTGGGTCATGAGATGTGAATGTGTCTATCTACTGAGTTTTGTTGAAAGAGCATAAAACATTGCAATTATTTTTCGTGTGGAAGTGGGATGGAAAGTCAACGAAAGGCATGGCCAAACATAAATTATCGGATTCTTTCGAAAAGTCTATTAAAACAATCAACTAACACATACGTATGGACTCAGCCTCAAATATATTTACCATAGCTGAGTTTACTCTTTATACATGTGGTTAAGAAGAGGCAAGTTTCTCGTCATTGTCATGTGACACGACCAATTGCTCTAAAATTGTGTAGCTCTTATGAAAGTAACAGTACTCAAACCAAAAAAGTGCTACTTGTGGACTTAGCTTCATCTCTTTATTCTCTTACCGGGTTGGGTACTACAAAACATGGGGAGAGGCAGCACGTGTATACCATTGGGACGCCAGAACAAGTCAGCCACACAAGAGTTCTACTAAATTAATATCGCTCGTATAGCAATTTTATGAATACTGTCGATAGCTTTTAGAAGGAATATACTGCACATACGATGGAACTAAATACATTAGCTATTCCTCTCACCAAGGAAGTGACTATGCTTAAGTTAAGATTTGATCATTCCACTTAAGCTAATACATAGTTTGATTGGCTGCACAAAATGAAAATTTCTATCGATCTTGAGAAATTCCTAGCTTTGTCCAAGACACTAGTTGTACTTTAACTTGCATACACCATTCATAGCAGTCAGAAATTCTCCAATACCAATTTTTTTAAGTCTTTGTTAGTTCCCATCGCCTTTTGTCAGATGGCCAAGAGAATTCTTCTAGGATGAACAGTTACATGTTTCACAGCCTGTGGCACTGTAGAAAATGCTATGGAAGGCCACTTGTTAATTTCTTGATCAGCTCTGCTAACAAAATCATCATTACCTTTTACGAGGAGAAGACGACGAGAGAGCACAAACGACAAAACTCTTACGTAGTTCGCTGGAATGAGCTACCATGTTCCTTCACTAACCTTTACATGTTGGCAAAGCCCCACTCCACTTTCCATTCCCTTGACACCGACGTAGCCTATTTCCAGTTGTCAATCTAAATCCCGGATTGCAAAAATACTCAACGGTGGCCTTATATCTGAAATCTCCTACCACACGAAAGCCATTCTTTGGAAAGCCAGGGTCGTCACATGTCCTCACTATCAATGGAAAGACATTGGTTGAGACCAAGGTAATTTACCAGTCAATGGACCAAAAAGGATTCTTAATGCCTCGCAATCTGTTTAAGGTTTCGAATTAATTATTTCCTTGATTGGGTGACATCATCTAAGAATGCTGAGTCATATCAGCGGGGAAAATCAACTGCATAGCGTACCGCGCTTAGCGAAAGACATAAGTTCTCTCAACCCGTCCTTTTCAGTCTTCTTTAATCTCTAGTCTTTAATAAAATCCTGCCTGCATGACTTTTATTTTACTCTCCTTAACTACTCTGACTCTGATTGACTGATCGGTTGCTCTCTTTTCTCTTTCTGATTCGCACCGACTTCTAGCTCCAAAATTCACGTTTTGACAGTCACCATCGATAAGCATGAGTGAATGTGCTGGCCAACTGACCTTGAAATCAGATACAATGGATTTATGAAGTTCATATATTTTGAACTGCGGTATTAAATACGTATGATGCACGATCCTTCGCAGTAGATAGCGCTATTTATGCAATAGCGAAAATCAGACCTGAAAAAAATCAGGCCCGTACGGGATTCGAACCACTGACCTTTATCATCACGGGTTTATTACGAATCAACTTAACGGCCTGCTCCCAGTTGGCTTGTTAGCTCAATTGGTAGAGCGCTGCACTAGTATCGCAGAGATCAGTGGTTCGAATCCCGTTCAGGCCTGATTTTTTTCAGGTCTGATTTTCGCTATTGCATAAATAGCGCTATCTACTGCGAAGGATCGTGCATCATATGACCTTGAAATATTAAACAATGGTTGTCAGAACGCTAACCGCTGACCCAAGCTTTTTCCACGCGAAACTCACTAATGAAAGACAACACACTTAATGCTTCCGATCAACCGAGTCAACCTTTGACTGCGTAAGACAATCAAGTCTGTGATCTGGGTCCAAGGAAATGTCAGTGGACAAACAAAACACGTCCTCTAATGGAGTTAGAAAAGGCAGTCGTAACTTAGAACTCATCGTGACAGCTTAAACCAAAACAACTTGGGATTTCGTATTCAAAATGTGAATAACTGCAAGATGCATCGCCATAGCTTAAACCCAAACAAATGGGGACTTTGAATTCAAATAGTAACTAAATGTTACATTCAAACAAATTAATCAATCATGTCAACTTACGAAAGATTTCACAAAAAAATAACTTTAAAAAAAGTTCAAGCAAATTTTTACGAGGTGCGCAAACCACTTCGTTGTTTCTTTTCAAAACACTTTCTTCAACGATGCCCCCCGTCGGGGTTTACAAGATATCATGCTCTCATAGCAACGACGGCATGGTGACGATGATGCAAAATATTGACGGTGTGCGAGACACTGAGGCAATTACATTGTGTCATGGGAGATTCTTTCGAAATAGGAGAACAAAAGAGAAAAAAGGTAAATTAGAGAAAGTCCAACACATATTCGGTTTCTGACGTTTCTGACTCAAATTCGAGCACATTTACACATATTTGTAAACTTAAGTGATTGCTTTTGTTTGGCAAGCCGTCCATGGACTTAACCTGCATTTTCTTGTGGACTTTTGAAAATGACCCGCTCAAACACTAACATTTTTGTACTTTTGCTAGTGTTCACAATTTTTGACACTTTCGTCGTTTTCCCCAGGGCGCTTTCTTGCATTTCTTTGTTACTGTTGATGTTTTTTTTTTTTTTAAATCAATACATTGAGCTGAACTCCTTGGACTTATGAGTTCGTATTAGGAACTCAGCCGTGCCTTAACGGAAGCTCCAAACAATGATAAACCTTTCCGTTTAATACATAAATGTTGCCTGGAAAAGGTTTTTTGGGGATCGGCAATGTTAGAAACTTCAGAAAAGGAAGAAGTTCGAGTTTATGGTGGGCTTCAAAGAGCAAGATCAAATACGTTAACCTTTTCAAGATCACTTACAACATCTCGAACTTTCAATGGAAAATCATGTGAATTTTCTTAAATTACCCAAATGAAAGATTGTATTGATCGATTCACTTGTCCATTAAAGATAGAATTTCAGTATAACAGCCATTCTTCTTTTCCGCCTAGCCTAAACGGCAGAATTAACGTGTCATTGGAATACAAGCTTACTTAAGGTTCTGGCCCAGGATCTCGTCAAAAGAAAACAAGGAGTTTCCTTAAACGAGTATGATATGATCAAAATCACTTCCTCGTGTAGATTGATTGACTTCGAACTGCTATGGATTCTTCCCTAAACTTCTTCTCCTCTTTCTACCGGTGAAACTAAGTGAAAAAAAAAATGGCGTCTCTTAATGTGTGCTTTTCAATTACACCTACTTTCTAAATTACAGTCGACTTTGTTGGTGGCATGAAATCAATGTGTGAAGAGAATTAAACAATAATTTTTGTCCTTTACCACTAAAAGCGTCTAAAAACATAGAGCTCTATTTATCCTACCACACATGAGCTATTTGGATGCCATACTAACCTATGACAAAATTCGGGGCGGGTGTTTTTTCTTAAAGCGAACCCATGATACTTCGCGCACTTCGGCGTAACGGCGGTGCATGAAAAATTACTCCCGGTTTGGATGCTAATTACCCGGTGAGAGATTTCCTTAAGAGTAACTTTGTAAAATGAAAGCACCATTTGCTCCCAAATTTACGAACACCTCAGATGTACGACTTGCATGGCGATGGCAGCGGTGGAACATCCCTTTCTTTAACATCGCCGAAACTAATTCATTGTTGCTTCAACCCTTAGGTTATTCCGGAAACGCACACTGAGACAGACAGTAAAATAAATCAACATTTTTTCGCTTCCTGTTTACAACTGCGCAATGAAGAGAAGCCGCGTAAAGCAAACTCAGCACGATATTTTAAAAAGTTACACGGATGGAATATGGTAATTACTGAAAGGGACTTTCTTTGTGTGGTCTGAACAGTGCGGACCTAGTACAAGTGCAAATATACATTTTTTTCTTTCTTAATCCGTTAATTTAATGATGATTTGCGTGTTCTTGGGGGTCACTCTTTTGTACTGTGGGTGACACTGGAAAGATATCATCTGCAAAAAATAAGCTGAAATGTCTGCAAGCATTAAACGGTCCTGAGAGAGTGAGCTTATGAGAGCAAATGAGTACCGAGCGATTTATTTTTTGATTAACCTAACATACGTATCTCTTGCAACAGATTTAACACTGAAACGTTGAAATAAAGAGGTAGGCACGTTTCCTTCACGATCTCCCGTTATAAACGGCGTAACAAATTGCGGAAAATTCTAAACAACTCATTTCTTAGTGTATGTGTTGAGTGGTCTCACCAGTAATATAGCCATTATAACCTTTGACAATTTACAGGTATAAGTGATTCTTGTCTTTGAAAAGACCTACCCGCGAAACATGATCTCCAATATATATATTTTTTTAAATGACTTAGAGAATAATGAAATGGATTTAGATCTCAGTGATGGTGCTTGAGCTATTTTTCAGCGGTTAGGTAATGCATCAATCAATGCTTCTGCTGTGGCAGGCGCTTTCAAAACGGACAACAAAAAATACTCTGGGGAAATTTCTTATAATCAAAGATGCATGTTTTCATTTGTTGTAGTATCCTCGAGGACCTCTACAAAGTATGACATAAAAAATTTATCTTAAGTCGCCTTGAATACATATTCGAACGATGCTACAAGGTGAAGTATGTTTCGAAATACGATTCGTTATCACGTTCTCAGAGAATCCGTGCGACCATTTTAGGAAGCATGTTTAACATCAATGAATGATTCCCTGTGAAATTGTTTTGATATGCTATGAAACGCTTTTAGAAACAAAGTAAACAGAAGATACAAGATAAGATCAAAACTTTGGCTTCATCTAGCCGCAATTCGTGTGGGGGAAGAATTATTCTCTATAGAAATGGAAAAATAAAGTTTTGATAGGTGGAGAGGAAACTATCATCGCTTGCGCTGCTAATCTTTCAATTATAGAAGTAATCTCCAGTTCATGGACGTATTGATTATAAAACACGTCAACCATTTAAAAAAGAAGAATAGGTTGTTTATGCCGGTAGGAGAGACTTAAGTTTGGACGAAGAGTTCTTCAGTGTTACACGCGCAAGTTAACGTCGTTCGCGTTCTTGCTCGAAATTCATTTCAGTACCCATATTACGAAATGAGAATAAGTTCTGCAGAGTTACTCAAAGCGCGGTTACGCCAGTAAATTCCAAAGCTATTATGGATAGGAACATTTCACAAACTGTATGCCAATTCGAAAATGGTAGAAAACACGAACCTACCTTCATTTGCCACAGCGCCACAAGATCTCAGAAATGTCGCACTCATCCAGATCAACCCAAAAGAAAATATGAAGAAGTGCCCCACTGGTGTCATCGCTGACTTCTTCAACTTCAACCAAAATGACCGAGAAAGTTTCGCTCTTTACTTATGAAAATGAAAATTAATTGCCTCGATGTACTTTGAAAACGACGTCACATTAACCGCTCTAAGTTTCAAAGGCAAAGTACCGAAGACTACAACAAAAAAAAGAGGCGCTGGAAGCGGCGTGAAGCAACTTAATCTTCATCAAATTTGTAACAAGAAACCCATTTTGTATAGAGAACTGTGGACGTGCACCCATAAGATATCATCACCTGGTGGGAGGTCTTTGCTTTAATGGCGCGAGCTGCCGCGAGCTATCGGGCTAATAATGTTTATATTGCGCAGCTCAAACTTGTAAGTTTGATGTATAAGTAACTCTCCCGTCAGCGGTAAAATGGAGCACAAATTTGACGCACATGTCAAGCCTTATCACATCGGTGAAATGGCATTGAATTGCGGTGGGTTATTCCTGGATGGCTTCTCATATAATAAGCACTTGAGAACGGATGCTGTGGTTACGGTAAATCAACATACAATGATTTTTATTCAATTGGTGAAAAGCAATCGGAAGTCCTACATCACGAAACTTCCTTAACATTGTAACCGCAAAAAAGAAAATGAGTATTTGTTAAAACTAATTTCTTCCCGACAAAGTAGGCGACTTGACGGGGACAGCCGGATGAAAAGTGTAATCCCTCCGGTTAATAAAATAAAAAATAACATTTCACTGTTTAGTTTTCTTGGCGCAGCTTAAACTGGTTAAAGGGCAAAAAGCTCTATAACTTGTCAATACTATACTGATGTCATTAAGAAAAAAAAAGAAAAACAGATTATGGAAGGATCTATTTCATAACAGGTACTTGTTATTTACTGTGCATTAATTTTGTAGAGCCAGTGGGTAACACTTAATATCTATTGTCAACAAAGACGAAGAAGAGTGCACAGCACCTGAAGAATGCAAGGCTTCTTTTTGCACCGAATAATAACTTGTACAATTAGTTAATTAGTTTATTGCTCTTAGCTTAAAGTTCGGTAGAGGGAAGAAAGACTAACAGACGATCGACATGAGACACATGGTTTGAGTTCAGATATCTTAGACACATGGTTTGAGTTCAGATATCTTAGTATGTTATGTGTTCACCCGCTTTAAATAAAGTTGACTTAGTGTGCGGTTTGCTTGAGTTGGCAGCGATCAATCTGCCCTCGACGCATGAGAAGCTCGCGTGTGTTCTGCAGTCCAGCAAATAGCCTGGAAGACCTGTAGAAAAGAACTCATAACTGACGTTGACCATTTAGGTAATAAGAGAGACAACTGCACACACCGGCTGCATTGGTTGACGGTATCTCGCTCATGGTAAGGTACATCTATTACATATAGCCAGAGAAATTTACCCACCCGGTTGCTCCGTTGTGTGCGTTGAATCAGAGTCACCAAACAATTCAAATCATTTAGCCAATCGAATAGCCTTTGAATAGCCCTGCTCAGAGAATTTCCGGATGACCTATCACATCTTAATGGTTAAGGAAAGAGGCCATTTGGGGTCTGAGATCTGAGATTAATCAAGAAGAGACGGTTAGAGATTGAGAAAGGGAAGCTGTCAATGCGGCGAGTCCGACCACAAACCTAAAAAGACATCCTACAACCCAATTAAACCCGACTAAGTAACTAAAGTTTACTGATCCTTTTCCGGATTTTCCAAGTTGATCGGCATTGTCTATATCATTTCGCCCGCTGGAAAACAAATAAAGCAGTATAAGCGCTCAAAAGAGGCTTATACATGGAAATCTGGCTACGGCTTTATATCTAGTGATTAAGAAAACACTAAACAACATGACTTATTTTCCAGCATACCTCTACTCCTAATCCCATTGCTCTTTTGAAATTGCCAAAAAAAAAAAACACCTAATGCTGCTCAGAATCTTTCTCGAATTTTTTTGCTAGATTGGAATGTTTGGGAAGGAGGATTGCCAAAAGTTAACTTTTTGCTTAAAGAAATCATTTTGAGTATCGGAAGAATTTTTGACGCCGGTACACATGACTAAACCTGGAATAGCTCTTAAAATAGTTGCTATGATTTTCTCTAATCTGTATTTTCGTTGGCTTTGTGTTGAGGTTAGATTACTGAATACCTATCTTTATTGATCTTTTTAAAAAGTATTTTTAGTTTCTCCGTAATATTAGGGACAGTGTGTTTACCGGCACGTGACTAATGTTCAGATTTTGCTCAGGATCTTCAATGCTCAGCGGGTTTGGAAGACTTGCACACCTTGAAACTAGCTGCTCTGTGTTTATGTTAAGGCGAGCAGTGTAGATAAGCAAACTCTTAAATCGATATAACTAGGGAATGGAAGGGACACTGAAGATGGCCAATCTGCGCGTTCATTTCTAGAAGCATTTAGGACTCTGAACTGACACGATCCGACTCATGTTACGCTGTCTTGGATCTCAGCCTGCGCCACTCCCAGCCATAAATGCTAACTCATTTCATTTCTATCTTTTCCGGCCAAAAATAACAATTGTTTCTATAGATAATTTTTAAATCGAGTGACTACAAAAAAGTTTCTGAGAAGGGACTTTGTCAATTAAGTTGTCAAAATTAAAAACACCATTAGGATCTTAGATCGGTCGTGGGTCTTAGAGGGTCCTAGAGGATCTTAGAGGGTCGTGGGTTCAAGTCCCATTTGGGGCTCGGATTTTTTCTATTACACTAAAAATTATTTCATTTATAGGATCTTGGACACCAAATTTCTCATTCTTTTTTCTATCGACCAATACTCAGTTATAACTTGAAACTTTAAACGTGGAACTGCCTTTACAACATCCACTTAAGAAAGACGGAGAGCGCTGACTTCCTCTGTTCATTCGAAAGAAAAATCTGAACTATAAAGAATAAAGCGTGCATAACAGGAAAAGGTCTATTGAATCTCAGTCTTAATTGGTTTTTCGGCTACGAATCTACGCTTGACACGTTATCCGGTTGCCGTGCTCGCTCAAAATTTCGCGACTATGAATTGTTCATAACTCCTGGGAACATCTGGAACAAATATTTATGTGTAAAGGTATAGAAATATTTAGAAATATGTGGAGAGAGTAGATGTGTTACTAAAAATAGTAACCTCTAAATACATAAAAGCTCACTGACTCATCTGTTTGGCAATTTTAAATAAATTGCGAACGGTCCTTCATCTCAAGCAAGCACAGAGTGGTATCAAGATGTAGCTTCGGCCTTACGCCAAAAAAGGACGCGACAGAAACGTGTATCTCTCCGGCGGTGCATAGTGATCTCAGTTAACTTTTAATGTTCTTTACTTCTCCATAGTAACAGTTTATAGAGTTTAGGAGACAGCCTTCGTGGCCTACTACTTGGCCGTGTAGTCGCGATGTCACGAGTGGGAGCTTCGTTGCTTGTTTTTACTTATTCACTTCCTCTCTTTAACTGAACCACTCCTGTTCTCCTTCCTTCCCCTCCCACACTCCCTCTCCCCCTCCCCCCAAGGAAAAACCTTAGCTACGAAGGCCCTGATCCTGATCAATCCGAAGATTAAAGTGCCACTGAAACGAAATTTTCATATGTGAGAATTTTTCATAATTTAGTGGTTTGGAAAAAGCTGATTATCATGGGCTAATTTGTTTTCGCCATAAAAAAGTGGAAAGTTGTCTTTTTTAGTGTTGAAAACCGCATTTTGGCTTAAAAACATGTCCGGGCCCTGGGAACGAATGAAAACGATTGCTGACATCACTGGTTGTATTTACCTCGCTAGCGTGGGTCTTTTCTTTCGCATTGTTTGTGTTTATACGGTCCGCCATAATGTCTGGAAACGAGCCTTCAACAGGTGAATCTTCTTCCAAAGGGAGCGAAGACGTTTGCAGCAGTGATGGAGAATATTACTATGCATTTAATGGCGATTTTGCGCCGTACCAAGGCGAGCCCCTAGCTTCTAGTGAAGACGGCGATAACAATGGCGGCGGCGAAAATGAACAAGAAGACGAAGACGGTATTTTGCCCTCCGTTTTAGAACAACGTTTCGAAGGACAAGTACCTTTAGACAATTGGTGAGAGCTCATAGCTGTGATTTTTTATTTTTCGATTGAACCTTCAGGCTTAAGTCTAAACATTTTTGTTTACAGGTGTACGTGTGGAAATTATACACTTAGCTGGGGCGCGTGAAGTTAGATGCTGTTACGAAATACTCCAGACGAGAGGGAAGTTTACATTTATCGGTCTCGATGAGGAATGCATTTTGAACCATCCCGAATTTTCTCCATTAACAAATCGTACTGTTCTTGAAGCAACAAACTGCGTATTTATTCCTCGTCCAAACGCCAAGCGGAATTTCACACCTTTTGTAAGCACACACTTACCATTCTTTGCTCACGCGAGGACAAGGCATTTTCTTGCTACTGTACACCATCTTTGGTTGGCACAGCATCCTTCTTTAACTATCGCTTTAATCGAGAGGAAGCTAGGGCCTTCCCCGAGATTTAGATCGAGTCGCTGCTCAAAGTTTGACAATTCAAAATGCACGGAACACAGTACTGATATTTTCGATGGCTGCCACTTTGCCCAATGTCTTCGCACGAAGCAAACCCATTTCTCGCAAGTTACATCGTCACGAGGAAACATATGCATCGATAGGCCCTCTCTTCTGAAGTTATTAGTACAACTTACATTTCCGGGCCCACGAGCAACACAGTACTTGCCCAAAAACTTTTTTGGGGGCTTCTTAACACTTTCGCCGCACTCCATGCTCACTTGGGGTTTACTCGGAGTTCTGAGATGTATACAACCAGTGACGTCACAACATTGTTTTGGCCGCACCAAGATGGCCGCCAATTTTGGGCTCGACTAGCCGAGTTTAAAGGGCTAGAAGAAAGNTTGTAAGGAGATATTAGAAGAAAATCACTCTAAGAGGTCAACATGTTAAACCATTGTCGGAGCTTATGAACGAGTGAATAAAGGCTGATAGTTTCGAAAGAAACTGTTTGGGGCTGCGTCGGTGGGAGTAACGAAATAATTTGGATATATCAACAAAGTTGAAATGGTAAATTGGCCACCGTAACGATTACAAAAGCTGACGTTTCGAGCGTTAGCCCTTCGTCGGAGCGAATAGAGGAATTGTGGGTTGTGTGTGCTTTTAAAGGCAGAAAATGGAGCTACGTTATTGGTGGGAACATGGCAATGAGAAAAACATGAATAAATTAGTGGAATGAAAAGCGTTCGTTGATCCCTGTGGGATTTAGTCTGCCGGTTTAAAAATGAACTGTTAAAAGATTTCAAATAGCTGAGAATTTTGGAATGGAGATTAGTAGAGTTATTGCCCTTTACGAAATTGCTCCATGTAGGTTTCGGCGAACTTCCATACAGCCAAATCTTAAGTTTGTGAGAATCAATTATGGGCCATTTTTAATTTTTGTCTCTTTTCATCGGGAAACCATCCTATTACTATGTGACTTACCAATAACTTCTTATAAATGATGGTTGCCCCAAGCGTAATATCGTCTCAGCCTCGGGAAAAATACATCCGTTCGCCGCGATATTTTGCTCTACATTGTCTTTAAATTGTCAGATATAATAGATACAGAGATGAACTTTTAAAGATAATTCGAGCAGCCCCAACAACACGGTGAATAAAGGAATTTGTCACCAGAGGTCCTATGCTCCTCAAAGAACATTAGAAACGCGATGTCACGAGTGGGAGCTTCATTGCTTGTTTTTACTTATTCACTTCTTCTCTTTAACTGAACCACTCCTGTTCTCCTTCCTTCCCCTCCCTCACTCCCTCTCCCCCTCCCCCCAAGAAAAAACCTTAGCTACGAAGGCCCTGATCCTGATCAATCCGAAGATTAAAGTGCCACTGAAACAAAATTTTCATATGTGAGATTTTTTCATAATTTAGTGGTTTGGAAAAAGCTGATTATCATGGGCTAATTTTTTTTCGCCAGGAAGAAGTGGAAAGTTGTCTTTTTTAGTGTTGAAAACCGCATTTTGGCTTAAAAACATATCCGGGCCCTGGGAACGAATGAAAACGATTGCTGACATCACTGGTCGTATTTACCACGCTAGCATGGGTCTTTTCTTTCGCATTGTTTGTATTTATACGGTCCGCCATAATGTCTGGAAACGAGCCTTCAACGGGTGAATCTTCTTCCGAAGGGAGCGAAGACGTTTGCAGCAGTGATGGAGAAGATTACAATGTATTTAATGGCGATTTTGCACCGTACCAAGGCGAGCCCTTAGCTTCTAGTGAAGACGG